GATATAAATATGTAAAGATATAAATATATATCTTTAATATTTTGTACATGTAAATATAATTTATATATATTTTTAAATCTGTTTCTAATATTTATTTTTAAAAATATAATATTATTTTTAAAATTTAATATTTAAATTTTTTATTTTTTTTTCAAATATATAAAGATATAAATGTATAAGGATATAAATAAATATATAAATATATATATATATATATATATATATCAAAATATAAATATATAAATATATTAATATATAAATATATCATTATATAAATATATAAATATATATATCAATATATCAATATTATCCCCTCATATATTATTTTATACATTATTAGCGTAATTTTAGTTTAATTAAAAATTAGAATACAAATATATTATATTATATTAATATACCATTATGTTATAATATTTGTAATTTATTTTTATAGTGTATAAATTACAAAACTAATAATTTGTATACTATACTAATATATAATTTGTATACTATACTAATAGTATAATATACTATATTATAATATTATTTGTATACAAAACTAATATCTTTATATATTTATATATAAATATATAAATATGGAAAGATATAAATATATGTAAAAATATAAATATATAAATATATAAAGATATATAAAAATATAAAGATATAAATATATCAATATATAAATATATCAATATATCAATATTTAAATATATCAATGTATTAATATTTAAATATATATTAAAATATATAAATATATTTTTATTTATAGATTTTATATTTATATATTTATACTGGATATACATTTATTTGTATATAAATATAATTTATTTGTAAGTTATTATAAAAAAATCCTAGTAGCTCGATGGTTGGAGTTTCAACCTCCAATTCTAAGGTACTTAGGTTCGAATCTGACAATGACAATAAACCTAATAATAAGTTAAGCTTCTAAAAAATATAATATAATTAAGAGTTAGAGAAAATAAATATAAATAAAAACTTAAATAAGCAAAAATATAATATAAAAAGAGGTAGGGGAAATAAATAATAAATATAATTAATTTTGTTATTGATTTAGCGATCGATTTAAATCGATCGCTATTTTTTTTAACTTTGTCACCGATTTAGCGACCAATTTGATATATTAATTTCGGTCGCTATTTTGCGATCGAAATAAAATCGGTCGCTATTTTGCGACCGAAATAAAAATCGGTCACTAACACATTAGCAACTTGGCTTTTTGCGACGATGCATTTCGGTCGCTAATTTCGGTCGCTAACCGATTAGCGATCGATTTTTTAACATTAGCGACTCGATTTTTTCGGTCACTAAAATGCTTTTTTCTTGTAGTGTCCTTGCTTTATTAAAAAATATGGAATTATACATAAAATATTTATTACTTATTATTTACAAACAAATGGTCAAATTGAAATATCTAATAAAGATATTAAGAAAATTTTGGAGAATTTTATTTAACCAGGTAAAAAACATTCGAGTATTAAATTAGATTATACTCTTAAGTTCATAGAAACTTACAAAACACCTTTAGGAATGTCATTTTTTATGATCGTTTTAAGGTTTGTCAAATAGAGTATAAAACTTATTGATAATTAAAACTTGTAATTTATCTTTTGATGAAATATATAAACATAAATTATTGTAATTACAAGAATTAGAAAAATGAATATTAGAAACATATGAGAATTCTAGGATTTATAAGGAACAAACAGAAAAGTTTCATGATAAAAATATTTTGTGAAAAGAATTTATAGTTGAACAAAAAGTTTTATATAATTCTATATTAAAGTTAATATCTAGCATAGCAAGTTAATATCCAAGTGAATTTCCTTATAGTTATTATCTTTCCATATAGAGTTGTTGAAATCAAGATAGAAGCTATCCATAATTTATTTGAAGTTAATGGTCATATGTGTTTTCATGATTTTCCAATTTTCAATGAAGCATTGAATATTATTGTTGTCCTATTTTATTTAAACTTTATCTTGTATTTTTTATTTTTATTTTTACATGAAGGATAATACAAAACTTAAGTGTGAAGTTATTGAAGTAACTCTATTTATTTTGTTTAAATTTACCTCATATTTTTTAGTTTTTTTTTATATATTTTACTAATGAATTTGATTTAAAATTGATATTTATTTATTTAGATTAAAATATTTTTGTTTATAACAACTAGTATATTATAATTGAACTTTTGATCAAAATAATTTATAACTTAATTAGATACAAAATAAGTTATATGAAAATCTAATTATTTTTTTATCGTGTAATTCAATCTTAAATATAAGATAACAAAACTTACGTATTTCTCTTTATTGAACATAATAATATACAAATTTTTAAATAATTTAGACAATTTATTCTTTTCATATAGATCCAAATCAGTCTACTTTTATAATTATTAACTTTGTTTAGCCTTTTTAAACCTCTCTATTTAGAATAAGTCACATTACAAACTAGAAAGAGTGAAAAAACATGTTTTCCTGAACTTTTATTATTTGAAAAGATTTGGAATGGTATTGAAAATGGTTTTGAATAATTATAAGGATGCAAGAAATTAAATTATATAAATTGGATGTTAATCTATTGTAATTTCGCTGAGCGTTACAAACTTTGGTTAAGTCATTCTAAACATTTGATTCATTTTTAAAAAAATTATAAAACTATTGTTTATCCTAGCAACAAGAAAATTTGCTAAGAAAATATAAAAAAATTACTACGAAAAATTCAAGAAAAATGTGCAAAGCAAAGAAGATAAAATCATTGAAAAAAAATGTATATACATGGTTATTTGAAATTTCATTCCTCCATTTTTCTCTTTGATTCTTAAGATTTTTCTTTTTTATGTCACCTTAACCTCATTATAACCTAATTAAAGACCTTTTCATTATTAATTTGTATATGATATAATTTATTTAATTATAAAATTGTGAAACCTATAGTTAATTTTATTTTAAGATGTGATATGAGAGAAACATTTGCCTAAACTCTTAAAAGATTGAGTGAAGTTTAATCTATTAAAATGATAAATAAAATATTTGTGTTTTAACATTATGACTGAGAAAATCTTTATAATTAAATTATTAATTGATAATTTGATTTATCGATAAAATGTTTTTTTATCATGTTTTCTTATTTCTAATTTTGCTTGAAAGTGCAAAAGTTTAAGTCTAAATTTATATTGAATAATATATCTTATCTATGTTTTTATTTATGTATTTTTCATATAATTATCCTATTTAATTATTTATTATTAACATAGTTTTAGTAAAATAAAATTCAATAGATATTTAGTCAATTTATTGATTAAATTTTATATTTTACTGAACATTTGTACATGAATACATTTAAAGTTTTTATTTTAGCGAATATTGGATAGAAAACACATTTTTTATTTGATCAATTTATTTAATAAAGAAGGATTCTGCTAAGCAAAAGTATCAATCAACTTAATTAACTATTTCACTCAGCAAAATAAAGATATGTTCAGGAAAAGGGTGTAAACCGATCTTTTGCAAAATTGAACAAATAAATTCTAACTTTTTAACTTTATTATTTATGGGTCTTTTATGAGCCTTACACGTTTTAGTTAAATTATTGTTGTATAAATAAACTTTAGAATGCTAAAAACATAAATTATGATTTAGTTTTAATTCAGTGTTTAGATTTAAAAGCTTTTTTCCTCTGGTTCTTAGTTAGACTCTTCATGTTTCTTTATATTCAAACACTAACTGAATTAAGTTGTTCTTTCTTTCAAGATTCTTCAATTCACGTGTTCTTAAATCAAATTTGTTCTATTCTCTTTTACTTAATGATTCATGCACTATACATTCTCTCCTGTTTTCTATTGCATTTTAATAACTTTCTAGTTTTTTTTATGTTAATTTTCTAATATAATTTTTTATTTATTTATTAAGGTTTGGTCTTTAATCATTTAAGCCATTCATAATTAATTACATAATTCAGATGGTTCATTTGAATTTCATTAATTATATTATAAATTAGATTTATGCAGATATTTTTCTTTGACTTAAAAGCTGTTTTTCTAGATAAATTGAATATGGTGGATTAAATGGATTTAATTGGATTGTGAATTATTATAATTCTTATTAATATATTTTATTATTACATTTAAATCGAGAGGAATCAATGATAACTAATGGAAAAAAATATTAGTGAATTAATCTTTACTTTTACATAGACTTTATATATCTATTTTTTCCTATAACTTGCAATTAGATTTACATTTTTAATTCTTTTAATTAGAATTTAGACACAAAACATTACAAAGATATTCATATAACGGTGTTAAAATATATTTAGGCGAATGGACAACAGTTTGTTTCCTAGATTAAATCATAACAATTTTAATCGGACTTATTTAAATCATAGTTTTTAAATTAATAAATTATTAAAAAAAAATAATGATAATGAAGTATAAGTCTTTAATTTTAGAATTAAATGAATAACTTATTTTATAATTTATATATTAAATAATTATATATAAAATAAAAAATATTTTTTAATTAATTATTTTATATAGAAATATTATTATTATTATTATTGTTTTCAATCAAGTTAAAAAATATGGATTAGATAAAAAAAATTATGATAAAATATGAATCATCTAAATCATTTTTTTCTTCCGTACGGTCAAGTAGAGCAGCCTGCTTTTTTAACCCCTCATTCATATACTTTGGTTGGAGTCAAATTTTTCAAAGTTTTGAAAACATTATCTACAGAATCAATATGATCCAAGTCTGTCGCCTGCTAAAGTACTTATAATGAACCTGTATTTTGGATTAAAATTTTCATAGCAGACAAGACTTCGTTTAATCAGCCACATGACAAGTCCTTTTGCTGTAACAAAATTTATTTTGCATACACTACATATATTGCAACAACAAAACTTCATAGCTATAATACGTGAAATTATAAATGGCCTAATCTTGATTCCCCATGATTAGACCATTTGCACTAAGGTGGTCAAAAAGTGCATTTTACAAGTTAGTGGTCTCTACTTCAGCTTCTAATTCAACAACCATAGGCACCTTTTCATAAACCTTAGACCCTTTGAACTTTTGAGGCAGAATACAATGAGCACCAAAACGTTGCTGCAAGTAGATAATGACAGCAAAACTGATACCTCCCAATGGAATGACAACATCCCAAGCAGTGGAGTAAAAATCTGCACTTGGATCTGCATAGATGTATGACCCATTATCTAGCTGAGAATAATTATGAGTCCTGTAAAGATCATAGGCATGTGGCAACAGCCTCACAAAAGTAATTCCAAAGTAAAAAGAACATGAAAGAACATTCTCCCTCATGTTAGAGAAGAGATTTAGAATTATCTGTGGCAAGAGAAAGCCATCCAACACCAGACCACCATAAGATTTTAAGTTCTCCCATGATGAATGATGTTGGTTTCCTGGAGTCATCACAACAACCTCTCCATCTCTCTTAAGCTTCAACAGCAATGCAATCAAAAAGCCAGCGGCATACAGGGGAAGAGTGACATAAGCACCCTTCCTCTCAGCAGTCAAGAGGCCTTTATTGCTTTCATCACTCTTTCTTGATGACCAAGTTAATTGAAGGAGTCGGAATTGCAACAAGAAAGCCACCATGGTGATTAGCCTTACAGCTATTTCATTCACTTCAAGCCATCCAACATTTCCAAACACGAAATTTTTGTTGTTAGGATTTTGAGCAAGAAGTGCTTCAAAGTTCAGAACAAGGGGTACCATGTGGCCCAAAGTAAGTATTGTCATCATAACAAGTGAGAGTAAAGGGAGCACGTTGGAGTGTTTCTTTACATGGTAGATCTGCAATCCCACAAAAACACATGCTAGAGTGGTAGATATTAGAACCATGATTGTCTCCATATCCATTCTCCAAACTGCCTTTTCAGCAACTTCAGTGTAAAATGCAGCTGAAGATAACTCCAAAGTTTTGAAGTAAAGAGAATCTGAATTTTTGCGTGTGCTTTCAATGCTTCCCTTAATGAAGATTCCTTTTTTTTCATCTAATGGTGGTAACTGAAACTTCACTACAATTTCACAATCCACAGAATGAGCTGTTGGTATAAGAGGATTTGAGTGAAGATCGCGGCAACCTACCATACACAAGTTTCCTGTTCCAGCATCATAAATTCCTTCAGCAGAAATCCCCGCTGACCAAGAGGACTGATTACGTATGGAATTCTGGACATTGGTTGAATTAAACCATAGTGAGATTTTGTAGCTAATGTTAAACAAGCCACCACTATTGAGTTTTTCCTCAAAAACTTCTACCGTGGAGTTTTGGACATTACCCCAGGAAGAGACCTTATCACCAACAGCCACGGGAGTTGAATAACCCCAGGCTACTCTTTTGCCGGACTCTCTAACTGCCATGTCAAATCTCATGTCATAAGAATAGGCATCTGGATATCTTTTCCCCTTGTTCTTCGTAGGCTTGGGTGTTGGGCATAACTTCTTAACTCTGTCTAGTTGGCTATACTCATACTTTGTAGCTTGAAAAATTCCCACCCTACCATCCTCTTCATTTCTAAAAGTTATCTTCTTGAAGTAGCCTCTACTATTAGTACTCTTGTTGCTCCAAATTTGGCCAACTAACCTACTAGTACTGTTGATTGACCAAGTTGAGGGGAATCTTAATCTTAGTCTTACTGAGCAATCACCCACATGAGAACCAGTCAAGGATGATGTCTTGCCAATGATATGACAAGCCACTACACACAACATGTTTTTTTTCTCATCCCACCATCCCTCCCCTACCAACATAGTTTTCGGATTGAAACTTTGGCCAATCCAATAATCACTAGCATTCAAAAATCTCATCATAACCCGCAACCTATGCTTGTTGTTAGCAAGAGAACACTCAATGCCTTTCAAAGACATTAGAGACACGAGTGGACCAGAACTCTCACTAAAAGGAGTGCAGTTCTTTGAAGGATTGCACTTAGGAGAGAACTCTAATTGGAGCCTTCTAATTGCCCTTGAAAGGGGACGTGAACAAAAACTCAACGAATTCAATGAAAAACCACCCTTTGCAGCATCACTCCCAGAAGAGAATTCATTGGCAACTTCTGTGGAATCCAAGGTATACTTGTAATTACCTTTTGGAAACATCAGCACAGAAATGGGTTCAAAGTAGTTCTCATCCTTTTGAGAACTCAAGCTCTCCAAACTTCCACTAACCAAGCTAGTGATATTGCTTACATTAAACACGTTAACAAGCTTAAACACAAGATCCAGATTAAGATACTTACCTTTCTTTGAATAACCATTTCCTGTCCCTACCATACAAACCTTCCCTGAAGACTCAGACCAAAACCCTTCAAGCTTGAAGTTTACATGGCTTCTACGGTAGCGACGTCGACGCTCATACCTTAATCTGTCATCATAGCTAAAGTTCCCTACAGGGTAGAAGTAAGATATGCTGGAGGTGAGTGATACAGAGCCTTCAACTTTGAACAATTCAGAGAACTGAGTTGCACGTATGTACATTGGTTGGAAGGTAAAGTATTGGTTCAAGGATGTTCCACCATCGATGATGCTATCACCTCCCGTGAAGTAACCTGTGTGATGATCATCAAAAGGGAAGGAGCTGGGAATGAGTTCATTGGCAGTTGACTCTGGAACTATGGAACCACAATGGTCTTTGTAAGAGGGTTGTGAAGTAAAGGAGGAGGCATGGTTGAAGGAAGAGATAGTGAGAAGAAAGAAGAGGATGGAGAGAAGAGAATCCATGACCATGATCAAAGGTAGAGAGAAACAAAGCAGAAACTCAGTTCTGTTATATATAAGTTAAGCATAGTTCAGTTATTCTTTTGGATCTAATATCAAAGAACTTTTTTTAACCATGTAAAACATGTCATAACTTTTCTTTGACAGTCATAAACTGTAAAAAAAAATTGTTCAAGAAGTAAAAATTATTGTTCTAATGACTAAAACTTAGTAATATATATATATATATATATATATATATATATATATATATATATATATATATATATATATATATATATATATATATATATAAGGCACAAATGAATTGATTAAGATAATATAATATCTCTTTATATTTATAATAGACTTCACTTACAATTTTTAAGAGGAGTATTTTGGTCTAATTTAACTTAATTTTAGGAATAAAGTTAAAAAAATTATTAATCCAGTTTATTCTATATTTTAAAATAAAATATAATTTGTAATTTAATTTAACTTTATATTAGATTAACATGCTGACCTAATTAAAAATAAAAGAATATAATTAATTCAAAAAAATATTTTTAAATAAAAATAAAAAAATATTTTAAAATTTAAGTTATATTAATAAAATTAATTTTTAATTTTATATTAATAATTTAATAAATAAATTATAAAAAAAATTAATCATTCATTTTAAAAGTTAAAAACTTATTTTTATTATTGTAATTTATTTTTTATAACCTAATAATCTAAAATAATAATTTATTAATTTTTAGAATAAATCCCCATTAAAAAATTACTCTTGTCTTTATTCATAAAATAAATTGATAAATTAATTTATAATAAATATATTTATTAATAAAATAATATTAGTTTTTAAAAATTTATTATTATTTTATAAAATTATTCATCCCTTAATATGATTTAAGCCTATTTAAATTAAGATCTAAATAGAATAAAACAAAGTAATTTTTAAATTTTTTTAATTTAACTTAAAAATATGGATAAGTATATTTTAATACCTAAAGTCAGCTGAATATTGATGAAAAATGTGACTGTTTCTTTGACAAAAAGTTGTAGGAAGTTTCTGAGTTGGGACATGGAAAACAACGTATTAATTAATGGTTAATAATGGCTTGGATGGACCACTTTGGCAGTCTTATTTGTATGACTTGTGGACTTAGTGGAGGATATGATTTACTTTCATTTATGAGGGAAGATTCCCACTTGACATTTACCCTCCAAAAGGGGATTATGTGGAATAATTTGCTTCTCTGTAAGCTCTTGTCAACAGATCAAATGATGTATGAATTTCTTAAATAGATAACTATCATGTAAATTCTATCAAACATATTATTTTCTGTTAATTAAAATTTATTAAAATAATAAAATTTTTGTCAATCTTATATATATTTTTAAAGAATTCTCAAAAAAATTTATAATTTTGATAAAAAAAAAAACTGTTGCAGGAAACTTTTTATAATTTTTTTGGGTGCCGCACCATTCCAATATGTGTTGTCCTTTTGTGTTCAAGCATGGACTTCTCGGAGGCTCTCTATTAAACGACTATTAATTAACTTATTCACCTTTTCTTAAATAATTATAAAACTAAAATCAATATAAACATAAAATAAAACAATAAAAAAATGCAGAGATTCAATAAAGACAAATCTTTCTATTTTAAGCTGAGTTTTTTTTTTTAGATTAAATTTGAATTTTTGGTCTAGCGTGCAATTTAAGTACAAGTGAAATTTGAAACTTGTTAATTAAGATAGATTAAACTAATATGAGTGGATAGAATGGAGAAGAAGGACGGTTTCTCCCATGTGTTTGAGACAAACTGTGGAGGAAGAGAACAAAGGTGTTGGCGGCAATTTCCATAGGTGGCATAATTAAATGGTCATGTCATTGGATTTATGCGTGGATTAGTTAAACCCCACAAAGACTTGGAACAAGTCATGCCTCTTCCTTTGGCAAAGATCAATCAACAAGTCAAATGGATGCTTTGGAAAATAAGTATTTCAAAAACATATTTTTCATAAATTAAACTTATTAATTTATAAAAAAAATTATACGATTTTCTAAATTTTTAGTTTTCAAGTTAAGCATAAACTAATTTTAATTTATGAAGTAATTTGTTTTTTATTTGGAAATTCTTTTACAAAAAATTTCCCAGTAAATCGAAAAATCAGACTCGCAAGTTTTTGCTTTAAATTTTTTATTTATTTGTTTTTAGTGCTAAATATTTATTATATAGTATATATATATATATATATATATATAAATAAAAATTTAGTAAAAAAAATATTATGTTTCAAATTTTTATGGTTAAATTTATTATTATAAGAAATTTCTTGTTATAGAATTTTTTTTTCTTTTTGGATGCATAATAAAAAGAAAAAACTTATGTATTTTTTACCTTTTCATTTCCTTTTTCTCGTGTTTATAATATATGACCAAGACTATTTTATAGATACTGGACTCAACATTATAAATTTGTTTACAAATTTTCACAATGACCAAAAAACAATAATTTAAAACTGAATGTGTTCCTTACCAAATCTAGGAATAGAGAACATGACAGACCTCAACTCATTTTTTGAGATACTCGCTGTGTTAGTTGTTTCTGGCTTCTATTAATTTCAGCATATTTGCTCACAGTACGTAAAATCTTTCTCTTTAGCCATATACAACATTTAAAATAAACAAGTAGTGTTTCGTAAAACTAATTGTAAACACAAACCTGCTTATTAGGAGTAATAGAGGAAATAAACATTTTGCTTCGAGTCTGAAACTTTAATTGTTTTAAAATATGATTCATGATTCATCAGTATCCAATTCTAATCCACGTAACCACTCAAGTCATGTATGTGACTTCAAAATAAGAGGACAAGGGCACAGGTCATGTTTCAAATTTCCCAAAAAACAAAAAAAGAAAAAAACAAACAAGAAAAAAAATGTTACAGACTATACTGTAACAATACAAGTTCATAACTAATGAAAAGTTTAAAATACATGAACATTTAACAGAACTGCTTGAGAATGATCATTTTTGAGGGTGATCATTTGCACTTGGATCATAGGGGCATTTTACATGGTGGTTGTCTCTACTTCTGCTTCTGGATCATTAACAACGGGCACCTTTTCATATACCTTAGACACTTTGAATCTATGAGGCAAAATAAAATGAGCACCAAAACGTTGCTGCAAGTAGATAATGATAGCAAATAGGATACCTCCCAATGGAATGGCAATATCCCAAGCGGTTGAGTAAAAATCTTCACTTGGATCTGCGTAGTAGTATGGCCGATCTAGGGGAGAATCAATCCGAGTCCTGTAAAGATCATAGGCATGGGGCAACAGTCTCACAAAAGTAGTTCCAAAGTAAAAAGAACATGAAAGAACATTGTCCCTCATATTTGAAAACAGGTTTAGAATGATTTGTGGCAAGAGAAAACCATCCAAAATCAAACCACCGTAAGATTTTATGTTCTCCCAAGATGAAGGCTGGTACATAGGGATATACACAGAATCCTTATCTTCATTCTTCTTCAACTTCAACAAGAATGCAGCCAATAATAACCCTGCTGCATACAAGAATAAAGTGACATAAGCAGTTTTCCTCTCAGAAATCGATAGGCCCTTGCTTTCACCACTCATTCTTGCTGACCAAGTGAGATATAGAAGCCGGAATTGCATTAAGAAAGCCACCATGGTGACCAGCCTCACACTTATTTCATTAACTTCAAGCCATCCATTATTTCTTACCCACCGTTTGTTGTTGGGATTTTGAATGAGAAGAGCTTCAAAGTTCAGAACAAGGGGTACCATGTGACCCAAAGTAAGAATTGACATCATAATCAGTGAGATGAAGGGGAGCACATTTGGTTCTCTCTTCACCTTGTAGAGTTGCAACCCCACAAAAACACATCCCAGAGTTGTAGATATCAGAGCCATGATCACTTCCATATTCATTCTCCAAACATTTCTTCTTCCCACTTCCCTGTTGTATGAAACTGCAGATATGTGTAAACGCTTGAAGTAAAGAGGATCAGATTTTTTACGTCTGCTTTCAATACTTCCCTTAATGTAGCTTCTATCACTAGAGTCCAATGGTGGGAATTGAAACTTCAGAAGAATCTCACAATCTGCATCATGAGCAACTGGTGTCTCAGTTTTTTGGATTGGGATAAGGTCACGACAACCTACCATACACAAGGTTCCTTCTCCAGCGTCATAAACTCCTTCTGCAGTGATCTTCACTCTCCCAGAGGACATATTAAACACAGAATTGTTGTAACCTAACTTTGAATGAGACAACACGAAGAGGCTAATCTTGTAGCTCATGTTAAACAAGCTACCATGGTTGATGTCAAGGGTTCCATCAGGAACTTCATTTGGGAATCTTGAGAAAGAATCAGATGATGTGTATTGGCCAAACTCAGAGATTTCATCATCAACAGCTAACGGTTCTGAATAACCCCAAGCTACTCTTTTCATGGACTCTTTAAGTGACATATCAAATCTCATGTTATGAGAATCGGCCTCTGGATATCTTTTACCCTTGTCATTAGGCTTGTGTGTTGGGCTTAGACATGATTTTTGAACCTTTTCTAGCTGGCTAAACTCATACTTTAAGCCATGACCTCCCATCCCACGACCCTCATCATTTCTAAATGTTACCATCTTAAAATATCCCGAATCACTTGCACTCTTATTGCTCCAAATTTGGCCCATTATACTACTAGTGTTTTTTATTGACCAAATTGAGGGGAATCTCAATCTTAGTCTTACTGAGCAATCACCCACATGAGTGCCAACTAAGGACGACGACTTGCCCATGATATGGCAAGCAACCACACACAACATGTTGTTACTCTCATCCCACCATCCTTCCCCTACTAACATAGTTTTGTAATCAAAACTCTGGTTAATCCCATAATTACTAATATCTGAAAATTCCACCAGAACCCTCAACCTATGTTTCTTATTATTAAGAGAACATCCAATGCTTGTCAAAGACAGTAGAGAAGGAAGTTTACCAGAACTCCCACTTATACTGCATTTCTTAGAAGAATGGCACTGAACAGAGTACTCTAATTGGAGTCTTGTAAGCTCCCAAGAGAGAGGAGACTTGCAAAAACTAAATGAATCTAAATTCAATGCTAATCCTTGCTCACTCCCATCAGAAAACTCATTGGCAACTTCTATAGAATCCAGGGTATAATTGTACTTTTCTTTTGGAAACATCAACACGGAAATGGGTTTAAAGTAGTTATCACCCTTTTCAGAACTCAAGCTCTCCAAACTTCCACTAACCAAGCTAGTGATATTACTTACATTGAACACATCATTAAGCTTAAAAACAGCATCCACGTTGAGAGAGTCACCTGTTTTGGAGTAACCACTACCAGTCCCCACCATGCAAATCTTCCCTGAAGGTTCATTCCAAAACCCTTCAAGCTTGAACGTTACGTAACCTCTACGGTAACGCCGTTGACCCAAATAATATGAACCATCACTGAATGTGTTAGCGCTTCTAAATGATACTGTGCCTTGGAGCTTGAAAACGTTTGGCGTTTGAGTTGCACGTGTGCTCCTTTTTGAGAGGTAAAAGGAGAAGCGGTTCCAAGAAGCAGCAACATCAATGATGTTACCACCTCCTGTGTAGAAACCAGTGTTCTCACCACCAAGAGGGAAAAAGTTGAGGCTGAGTTTGGTGGTGGGGGTGGAGTCAAGAACTGTGGAGACACAGTGTTCTTGGTAAGAAGGTTGTGAGGCAAAGGAGGGAACAAGGTTGAAGGAGAAGAAAGTGAAAAGAGAAAAGAGAACGGAGAGAAGAAAATTCATGATCATGGTAAGATAAAAAGTAGTTTGTTATTAGGGAGTGAAAGTGGGAAACAAAGAAGAAATTCAATTCACATTTATAGAATTATCTATCTCCAGGGGTGCATGAGTGTGGCAAAAGAAGACTGACTTCTAATGATAACATCACATGGGATGGGAGTACGATAATCATACCATTCCAAAAAAACATCCAATAGAAAATAATATTATTACAACGGGAAATGTATTAGATTTATTTTTCTCAAATGCCAAACGGAAAAAATTGTTTTGACACTATTGTTTTCGCAAATATTCGATCTACAATTCATTTTTATATAATAATAATAATAATAATAATAATAATTTTAAATTATTTTGATTTTGATTAAATCCTTCAATCATTATTATATTAATAAAAATAGTTGTTTTCTGGCAATCAGTTCTCAATATATCAATTTTTTAATCATAAACTTGGTCATAATGATAGAAGTATCTTCAGTTGTTTTTTTTTTTTCTTTCTTTTCTCTTACCTAAACAATGTTTACAAGTTGTTTGACTTGTCAAAGTAAAAAAAAAAAGAGAGAGAGAGAAAATGGGGAGAAATAGATTGATGGCATGCCTTATTATACCGGTGATATTTTGAAAATCGACACAACCTATGAAAAAATTGTAATAAAATGTAATGGGTTATGAGATGATGCATGGATTGTCTAACAAAGATTTTGATATATAAACAATTCTTTCCGTTCCAATATCCATCAACGATTAAAATAATAACAATAATAAACATAAAAATATAAAATTTTCATATATTGACTAGTCAAACATGTAAATTTAAAAAGTTTATGCAAGAAGAATTCAGGTGCATGTCCGTCACTTTTGATAAAGATAAATTTTAACTATATTCTAATAGGTTTAATTTGTTGATTGGATTTTTTTTAACAAGATTTGATTTTTTATAGATTTTAAAAGTTTTGGGATTTTTTAGTAGAAGAAATAAAAAAAAAGAGAATTTAATTATTCTTTTATTTTCATATTATTTTAAGTTAGAAGATTTAAATTGTAAAAATAATTTGGTCATATTGTTTGAATTGCAAAAAATTTTAATGCAAAAAATTTTAATGTGATTGTATGTGTTTATTACGTGTTAAATGAAATTGAATTTGAATATAGGTTGATTTAGAATAATCATGTGCTTAGAAAGTTAAGACAAAATAAATTATATTTGGATTTGGTATATCATGATTTAAAAGAAAATTGTGTAATAAAATTTAAAAAGACTGTATTTGTTACTTATAAGCTAGTTTGATATATTCATATTTTGTTAATTAGATATTTCACTTCAAGAAATTTTAATATTATCGACGGTCAAAATACATCGGTAATAACAAAAATCGTTTGGTAATATCCAACCGACGGATTTTCGACGACAAAAATTCATCGAAAATTCGGTTATCGGTAAATATTACTGATGATTTAATAGTCCGTCAGTAATTATCGACGGATATATCCGATCGCTAAATGTTTTACTGAAATTACAAGATTCGAACCCAATACCTTAGAGTTAGAGGTCGATACTCCAACCACTAAGCTAAATAAATTATATTTATATATTTATATATTTATATATTTATATATTTATATATTTATATTTTATATATTTATATATTTATATATTTATATATTTATATATTTATATATTTATATATTTATATATTTATATATTTATATATTTATATATTTATATATTTATATATTTATATATTTATATATTTATATATTTATATATTTATATATTTATATATTTATATATAATTAAATATTTATTTTTAAATTATTTAATTTAAGAAATTATTATAAATTAATCTAATTATGATTAAATTAAATTATTAAATAAAAATATTTAATTTTTTAATTAAGTGAATATTTACTAATTGTTAATTTACCGATCGGATATATCCGGTCGGTAATTAATTGTTAATTTATCGACTAGATTCTTGATCGAATATATACATTCGGTAAATTTATCTGTAAATTACTGACGGATTTATCGACGGATATATCCGTCGGTAACTAATTATTATTTTACCGACAGATATATCCGTCGATAAAATCAAATTCCACAAATATTTTATATTCAGTCGGTAATTTTCAGTCGGTAATAATTATTTTCCAGACAATTACAAATCCGTCGATAATACGCGATTTTCTTGTAGTGTTTATATATTTCATTTAAGCGATGACTCATCATCAAGGACGGATCTAGAAATGGTTTAAATCGGGGGCAAAAAAAAAGGTAAACTTCTTATATAAATTTCTTTAACTTTTTTATTTATAGAACTACCCAATTCTATTAGGTTACAAGTTATAAAAGAAGCCAAATTGTTAACTTCTTACATAAATTTCTTTAAATTTTTCATTTATAATATTATATAATATAATAATTTTATTATATTATAATATATAAACTGATACACTAAAATGTATGAAACGAGAACTTTTGAGTTAGATCTTCGTATTTTTTTTTTACTATTTATAATATAAATTTTTTTACAATTTATAAATGAAATATAATATATATAATTAGGGATGACAATTAAACCCGTACTCGTGGGGACCGACCCATCCCGCCTCGAGTTTGACTGGAGAAAACCCGAGTTGACCAGTGAAGCGAAGCGGAGCGGGGTTGAGTTCGGGTTTTCCCGCTTTAAAAAGTCGGGAGCCGGGATGGGTAATGCAATCCCCACCCCGACCCCGTCCCTGTCCCCGTTCCCGCCCGACTTTATATTTAAATTTAAATTTTAAAATATTAATATTTTAAAAGTATTTCCTTTTCTTTTTCTATTACATATAAGGTCATTTTTTTATATTTCACCAATTTTTTTTCTTCTACCCACTTTTTAATTTTTGTCTTTTTTAATCTTTTATATCAATTAATTTATTACATTATTCTTTCTCTTACCTTTCATTTTTTCACATTTCCTTAATCTCTCCCATCAATTTGTTTTTTTTTTCAATCTTTTCAACCAATTTGATGAACACAAAGTTTTTTTTTATTCTTTATATTTCTCTAAATATTTACATAAATCTTAGTAGTAACTAATATTATTTTATTTATAATTTATATTTATTAGGTTTTATTATGTCATATTTTTTTATCTTATTATTCTTATTTATCATATATCAAATTTTATCTTAATAAAATAATTGTATTTTAAAGGATTAAAGGAATTGATAATTTAAACTTTTATTACTTCGAACTAATTGAATAAGAATTAACTTATTAAATATTTCCTTATAAACTATATATTTCATATTTTTAAATGACAACTTAAAAATGAATTAACTTATATATATAATCAAATTTTTGAATACAATATTATAATAATAGTGTTATAAATATTTGAATATAGTGTTATACTAATAATAATAATATTATAAATAAAAAATGATAAAATATTTTTTTTACATACATATTTTAATATAAATATAATAAATTAAAATATATATTTAATTAATAATAATTATAAATATTTATTTATATATAAAAAATAGATAGTAAAATTAATTTATTATATATGTAATTATTTTTTTAAAAATAATATAAATCGGGGACGGCGCGGGGGCGGGAACTCGAAACCCAGCGGGGACGGGGATGATTAAAAAAGTCGGGGGTGGGAATCGAGGAGGCAAAACCCGTCCCCGCCCCGCCTGTATATAATTTTGAAAGAGGAAGGGGTCGGGCCCATGCTCGCCCCACTCTGTATCCGTCCCTGATCATCATTTAAGTGAAATGTGTAGTAGAGGCAATGATTCCTCTTGAAAATATTTTCTTTTCAAAAGAAAAAACTATTACTTAAGCGAAAAATTCCAAGTGGACGAAAGCTAGTTTTTGTTATATTTTTACTCAAGCGAAAATTATAAAAAAGAATGAGATTTTCTACAAGAATTTCACCAAA